ATAAGTGTCAGCTGCAATTTGTTAAGAATGCAAATCAACTTGAACTTTGACTTTTCTCTTGGAAGTTTTCCCACTGTTTGTATTGTTGAAACTTTGGTGTATGCCAATTCAAGAGAGCTCAAATTTCAAATTAAAAGAGCATTATGGTCATTTTATTATTTTTATGCCAAAAAATCTAATCGTCTCAAGGTTCAATGTGAGAAAAAGGAGTTAACACATCTGTGAAATTGTAGGTTGGGTTTTGGTATTTTATAATAATTAAGCAGAGAACAACACTTGGTAATGTCATCTGTAGTAGTGCCTGTCCTATGTTTACTTTCCACAAAAAATAACACAATACTCAACATGTAACAGGCACATATGTGGCCAGCAACCTGTTGATTTCCCCTCAAACCTGTCAGTAAGAACACACAGCAGCAGCAGATCAAATAATTCACACTAGCACTGAAAACTAGGAGGTAAACTTAGCTGGTGAACTTGGATTAATAGATCAAAATTGCACAGTTTGAGTCAAACATATACTATTCCAAATCTACTAACATATCTACTTAATTTACTGAATTTATAGAATTGATTCATTAGCTGAGAATAATTTAAAGTGAGGAGCACATAGACAATAATAATTATACAGACATAATGTATTTGTATCAGTAATTTTTATTACAAAGAACTGTGTTTATTATTGTGCCATGTGGTTTTGATAGAGTTTATTTTGGTTTTGTTCTTTTGTTACATTTTGTACAAAACCAGTCAGAATATCAGTCACACTTTAAAGTGTGGCATTTAAAAATAGCAAGTCATCTCAAAGCATATTCAGATGATGAGTCACTGAAGGTTTGTGTGCTGAAAGGGCCTGTTTCGCTGTTCTGTGACGTGTAAGATGACAAAGACTCTTTCATTACTCTGTTGACATTCGTTCAGGCATTTCAATCTATTTTTAAGTACACATGAACTATCACCAGTATTCAAAATTAAATGAGCAATAAACAGATTTAAACAAGCAGTCTAACACCACATGACAATTTGGAAAGCATTTATCTCTTCAAGGGTCATTACTGTTATAAGGGTAAGCATTAAAGGAAGAAAATATAAAAACAGAAATGAGTTCAATTCTTTTATTTTTAATTAATAAATGTAGTCAGAATTATGTATAATTAAACATTTATTGCAACACCTTCTCACACTTCAATTACAAAATTATATTTGGGACAAAATGAAACTTAAACTTGCAAGACTTTATCAAAATCAGCATTTTGTTTCTGATTGTATTTAACAAAATTACATAATTATCTAAAAACATATCTTGAGTCAACAAATCTAATTATGTCTCTCATGATTATGATCAAAATGCATAGTAATGTGTTGTATTGCAATATCTGATTAGTGTGGCTTAGAGGATGTCAAAGCTGACATTATTCTGTTGGCAACACATTAAATTTCAGCCATCAGCAAAGATTGTGAATTTGTGAAACAATAGATGTAATTATTTTATACTTATTTATGTTTTGCCATGCCGTGTGTCTTTTTACTCTAATCAAAATCCAAATGATTATTATTTTTTTAATGTTATTTAGGTCATTTTCAAAGTTTCTTTTTGAATTTGGCAAAGTTGTTCTTTGATGTTCCAGCTACTTTGTGGTGCGTAGTTGTTTTCATAAAGAAGTTTCTCTCTGTTTCATTCACTCAACCTTTACAATGATGTGGTCAGTGCCCTTCATCCCTGCACTATAATGCACAATGAAGGAAGCAAAAACATTTAAGTGCAAATGTTTCTGATTTTATTTTGTTTAGGAGTTAAGAGAAACTGAAAGAAAAGTATGACACCTTCCACTGAGGTAACAACACTTTGATGATAAATCAGAACAACAACTTGAGGAAATCTCCAAGACATTGGAAGTGACAATTGTCTTTACGAAAGACAAGAACATTTTGTAATGTAACATTCATCTAAGTAATACATTTCTTTTTATTAAAGTCAGACATAAATCGGATCTCAGGAAAGATCATAATAGGTGAATCACAAAGTGATGTACTATGGGTTCAAAACATGAGAATTCAATATATATATATATATATATATATATATATATATATATATATATATATATATTTTAGCAAAATGCAAGTTTATAAGCAATTAAGACAGAATCACACTTCCTAGATATCCTTTTAGGCAAAAGGAGGAAAATCATATTTTCTGAAAACTCTGATTTTCACTATGGTTCAGTGTTTCCATAGGAAATGAATTTACAATGCAAGAATAAGATATATCTTGAGTGAACTCAGTACACTCTAAGATAAAATTTGGTATCTTTTAAGACAAAAGAATAACACTTTCAGATCTGACAGATCAAAGCTTTCTGAAAATATTCAGTTTCTGCTCAGTTAAACAACATTCTGAACAACAGAGGTATTAATCTTTAAATTTTAAACATTTCAGTTTCATTTATCTTTGACCAACATGATCGAAAGTACAAATTTATATCTGATAAAAGATCAATACCCAGTGACCCAATCTTTCCATAAGAAAGAAAAACCTAAAGTTCATTTAAAACATAAGTTACATTTCTTTTCAAGTCAAACTGAATGAGGATACTTTTCAATCTGACAGATCAAAATACGCTCACTTCATTTCAATGCATCTTAGTAACTTTCTGTTTACACAGAAAAAAAAATCAGGCTTTGAATTTTAATAATTCCAATGTCCTTAATATTTGACCAACATGGTTTCAAGCTTCTTGCTTCATTCTTTCTCAACATGAAAGAAATCATTCTCATTTCCAAAGGAAATATCATGTTTTGAAAAACTGATGATTCAAACAGAATCAAATTGAACAATATTCCAACAAAAATCAAAGAAATTCAGCTGAATAATATCGGACCTATATGGTCTTAGTTTGAGTAGTTTTTATTCAAATCTGTATATTTCTACAATGGCCTCCAGAGGGCGCTGTTGACTGAACTCTTGTCTTAATAGAAGCTGGTTTGGCCTGTGGCGCTCAGAACAGAGAAGTCAGTCTGTCAGGTTTTCTTCAGAGGAAGCAACTTGGAGAAATGGTTCAGTAGTCTTTTGGGAGGCTGTGGCTTCACTTTATCTTTGAACAGGAAGTGTATCTGCATCTCCAGGATGTCTGTTTTCTCCAGCTTAGAATCTGGCTACTGTTAGAGAAACTTTGGAGCCAGCTGCTCCAGGCTTTCTGTGCTGCAGAATCAAGAATACTGATTGGTAAGCATGTACATGTATGTATAATTGCTATCAACACAAACTTAAATATGAACACACTCTCTATGGATCCATATTTACCTTGTGGTTCAGAACCAGATGTGCCTGATAGCTGAGAGCTGAGAGCCATTGCTGCACTCTGAAGGTATCATGGTTGGATATCTGTGCTGTGGAGGTCTGAATCTGAATCTTCTTCAATCTCCTATTTATAGTTCCTCCATCTAGATGTGTGGGTCTTGGTCTGGAAGAAGTTTCCCACAGTCTGGACCAATCAGAGCTCAGAACTAGAGATAATAAGAAGTCTGCCCTGCCACATGGTCACTACTCATGTCAACAGGGGACAATGATTTGATCTCAGGGGAACAGGTGGACGACTGGGGGGAGTTTTTTGTTAATGTGGGAATGTTATAAAGAGTCAGTTGACTTTGTGGTGTCTCACTATTTCACACATTCATTATTCCAGCACACATGCAAAATCAAACACTGAAAAGCTTATGTCTTAGTTTTGTTGGAACATAAAACTATTTTGTACCAATTAATCAATTTATATTACTTTTTGTTTTTGTTTATATTGTTTGGTCAATCTAATCCGAAACTTTAAAACACTTTATTCAACTTCATTTGTTTGAAAATGTGCCCTACAGATCAGTTTCGACTTGATCTGTGGACTTCGTGGACTTATTGTTTAAATCAGTTATTCATCTTTATTGCAACTTCTGCTTAGATTATTCCTATTTTTGATCTAGATGTTGTATATACTGAAATGTTCTTGGTGTGAGTAGAAAGTCTCTCTCAGTTTCCCACACTCAAACCTTCTAAGACTTGGCCAGTGAACTACAAAAGGACTTTCAGTGGAGCTCTTTTGGCACATGCTGGTCATGTCTGTGACATCACAAACTATCTGGAGGGAGGTCAATTGAACTTTGACTTTCCTCCACAGTGTTTCTAAATGTTTCGTTGAATAAAAAGTTTTCCACAACTTTCCTGTTCAAGACACGTGCAACATCAAAAAATGTCACTATATTTACAAAACAGCTAACATTTCACTGAACAGTTCACCTTTAAGGTAAAAGAAACAAACACTTTCACATAGGATGAACAAACAGTACATAAGATGTGATGACTCATTAATTTTCTTAAATTAATTTAACATTAAAGAGTAAAAATTGTATGAATAACAATTTTTTTCTGTCAGAAAATGTCAAAATAATGTTAAATTTTACATATTCCCATTAAATGCTAAATAATCTAGATCTACAATCTCTAACCGACTATGATTTTTGTCAAAAGGGAATTCCAGTCTGTTGATATATGCGATGTCCACCAGAGGACGCTGTTTCCTGGCCCAATGCCTAATTGATGCTGCTCTGGATTGTGGAGGAGAGATATCAAAACATGAATGTATTCATGATCTCAAAGTGTTCAAAAATAATACATCTTGTCTCAATACTTGTCAGTGCTTCAACTGATTTAGAAATGGAGAAAAAGATTTTAAAATATATGATACTTAACTTTAAGTGCAGATAGATGTGACTAAAGGTCACCAATTAATGCTAGTTTCTTTTTAAAACCAGTTTCTATTTACATTTCATTTAAATATTATGTATTGAAAATTGTTAATGATCAGCTTTTGGAATACTTCCACTGGTATGTAGATGGCTAGGGTGAAGTGTTTTTGAGTATGGAAGGCCTACCTAATTTTTGCCTCCAAGATTCTCAATCAGCACTTTAAAATTAGTAATAGCTTCTAATATGAAAAACCCAAAACAGTGTCATACCTAATTAAAATCTCTTTATTACAATCACATGTACATAATCATATTTCAAAAAGCTTGCCGTAGTGAAAAGTACTCTTGCACAGACAGATGGAGTTGGTTTGCAGGCTGGATGGAGGAATTGTCTGATGGAGTAGAAGAAGTGTTTTTCATTCCCCAGCAGCAAGTGTCTCCGCTCCAGTGTGCTTTTAATTTCACATCACATGAGGACAGCAGCGCTATTTTCAGCCATCCGTGTCCTTGTGTAACGTAAGCAAAGAGGGTGAAGGGGGGTGGGTGGCTAGGAAAATTTCTCTCTTCGTCATCCATTATTCAGACTGCTTGAATCACAACTGAGAGAGAAAAGAACACGGGAATAAACACAGTGGATGTAAGACTCTTTACTCACTGTTCAATTAACCACCTGGGTTTTTGTTTTCCTTAACATAAATGGATAAAAATCAAATGTTAATGCAACCCAAAAATAGATACCTTACACAAAGGCTGGAAGAAGGGCGATGTTAGATGGAATGAACTCAATCCAGAAACGACAGTAAAATGACACTGTTCACTCACAATTTGCTTGTCTGGTGACTCTTTCAGGTATTTAGCAAACAGTTCCCTTCACACACACTGTGTAAAGATGTGGGAAAAACTTAAATAAATATTAGTGAAGCGGCACAATCTCACATTAAAACATTTTGAAAAGTTAAAAGCTTTAATTTAACCTTTAATTTTACCTAAAGGTAAAAAAAAACCCATGCTGAGAAATGTTAGAATTTTTTTAAGAAAACAGCACCAAAATTGTTGACATCCTTAAAAATTACCTTTGACTTCCTATTTTTCTGGAATATAAATATGAAGTGGAACACAGATTCTGTCTTAAGCCATTCTTCAAAATGGCAGATGTATGGGGATTTTTACAAGCTAGTAAATGGTTTTAAGAAAATCATTGCTTCTCCGAACATGGCAGTCACCACGTTTCTAACAATTTAGTTAAGATGTACACATTTTTACCAAGTGAGTGTGAGTGAACATGGAGCTTAGGTTATTTAAAATAAAAGCAGAAAAAAGAATCAATGGATTCTACTTGTCACTCAATTTTAGGAACAGATGACATATGAATGAATGAAAGGATGAATTGGCAGAACATTTGTGGAATAAAATATACAGTCATTTTCAATGAATTAATATATGTGTGCCAATGAGACTCATCTGTATTAAAGATCTTTTTTAGTGGTCTGATGTAATATTCTAATCTTAAATGCTGTGACATCATCATAATAAGTAACAGAAATAATTATTTAATTTAATATGACTATACATCATCATTGTTGATGGATATTTAATGTTTCCTCGCCATGGCAGATTTAGATTTATAATAAATTTTTACTTTAACAAGAATTTTTTTTTTTTTCTAATTGGAAATAGCACTGACATTTACAAAAAGAAAATAAGATGGGAAGAGTAACATTTCTGGGGAAAATATCTAGTTTTGTTTTCATTTTAGCAAGAAATGTGTATAAAAAAAACTATACCTCAAAAATCTATAACAATATGTGAAATTTTGGTCAAATTCGAACATTACAAAATCTGCCAGGGGTATGAACAATTATTAACCTAACTATAACAAAAAGATTTACCCTCACAAAAAATGTGTATCTTCTTTCTTTTACCATTATGTTTAAGTGACTGATCTTTTCAGAAAGAGATTTGTGTTGTGGCTTCTGCACAAAAGAGGTTGTGAAGTTTTCTTTGTAATGGTTATGCAACAAATAGAAAAAAGTAGCAAATATAACAGTTTCACAAAAGCAAAGACAATGAAGTGATGCAATCTAGCGTTTTGTAGCTGAAGTTGGCAGCAATAGCAATGTCAAATATAAGTTAAATTGTTTGAAATTGATCAATTTTCCAAAAAAAGAAGATAGCGTGTTATATATCTATATTCCCTGGGACATGGCTTCTGTTAGATCATGCAATCATGTCATAAATTTAGACGTCTTCCAAAATTTCGAACAAAAATAGGGCTAAAAAAAGCATTATTTTTGCCCATGTTCTCATTTCCATTACTATCATAAAATAGGTAATATCCAAAGATGGAGATAATAAATTAAAAATAAAAACATCATCAACCTCGTTTAAAACAGTCAGATGCACAAAATCTTTCAAAATCATACCTGAAAACTAGTATTTCTCTTTATATTGGACAACCTATGGAGAGCACTCTTAAGTTTTAGAAAAACAAAAATACCATCTATGAACAAGGACATATGATGTTTTAAATATTCTGATAATACAATTTTTATCTCTGTGCTGTATATACAGCCTCCACAACAAAGCTATAAGTCTACAGAATCACATGATAAACCACTGGAGGCATCAGATGGCACCATCATATCCTCAAACTCTACCCTCAGCCGCACTGTGTGACAAAATCAATATGTACATGTCATAATGACACAAAACAACAGTAAATTCAATTTCAAAAATCCATTTAAAGAGACAATAATATTTATATGTTCTCATCATAAGAAAAGTAGATGAAAATATCACTAGCTTTTAAATGACTTAACTAGCATTAAAAGGTTTAAAGATCATTAAAACCGTCCACGTTTGTTTTGAAACCATCACAAGAAAAATATTGAAATATGTCCAACACAACCACAATAAACTACGTTTTTCCTTCATAAATCACTGATAGTTTATAAAGAAAACATCAACAAACACTGTCATTCTATCTACAGTTGTTCCACTGGCCTAAGTCCCTGGTACAGAAAGGTAGGGAAAACTTTTTATATAAAAATGATGTGCAAAAAGTTTTTTTCTTCTTAGATCCCTCCCATGGAAAACACTGTAAATATCTGTATGATCTTAGCTGTTGCCACTGCGAACTCCAAAATTACTGTGCACTTGTGGTGTCTTATCACTTTGTGCATCCGTTTTGATTTAAAACAAATTTCTGCATTCGCTGAAAAGCCTACACCATTGTTACCTTGATAAAACTAACTTGAGGTATTATTGCACTTGTTCCTGAACTGCGGATGTGTCACCAGCTTGAAGTGGAATGTCTCCGGAGCTCTATCTGCAAGGCAGACACTGTGGACATCAGAACATCCTCCAATATGTAAGGTCTAACAAAGTTCTACCATCCTTTCTCAAAAACCCCTTCTCCTCAGGATTTGAGTAAACATGCATAAACAGTTTTATGCGTAGATCTGTAAACATCCTGCTGATTTCAAAATTCCTGGCAGAAAAGTAAACTAACTATTCTATGCTGCAATCATGTCTTTGAATTAACAATTTTCTATTCAAGTAGAAATATTCAAGAAAATATTAGTGGTATATAATTATTTTTCTAATTCTACCAGTCCAGTTGCAGCAATGTATTTAGTTTTAAATTGCTGGTAAAAGACGCTGGTTGCTGAAAATAGCAGGAGCGGCAAGCGACATGATAATTATAATATTAACAATTAACGCTACAGTGTAGTCCTGGTAATTATCGGAACATTTATATAAGTCCTGACAGTAGACTCTAATTAGAGATAAATAAAAACAGTGATCGGTATAACACTATTTTTACTAATGAGGGCTTTGACTCCAAATCACTTAATTAGGTTTCTTAAAGTGGGGAATATTTGCTGTCATATGCATGTACATTAGATTGAAATTAAGTAACATGAGTGCAGCATAAAGTCCTGGCCAAGCATTGCAGCATATGACTTAACAGATTAAAGTTGAGCATCAAACCTTCTACATGAAAAACTGTTGCTTAACAAGAATCCACACTCTTTCATTTTTGTTGCACAAAATCATACTGATTATTTTTAAATAAACTTACTATCTCAAAAAAGATACATTTTTCAAGGTTTTGTATGAAATCTCCAAGTTGTCATTTTCTGCTTTGCTACAGTTCATTTGTATCTTTGCCATTGATATAAAAGGAATTTGTAATTTGTTTTAAGTGCACAGACAAGAAAATACACCTAGAATAGTATTGCTTTCCAAATATCCCATGGCCTTTTAGAGGTTCAAACCCAAATATTTGTAAATGTTTGAAAAATTCAGTAAAATATACTTAGCATTGGATGTAGCATGAATCACATGGTGCAAACACACACCAGCTCATATGACCTTGCTCATTTGTTTGTCATTTCAAGCATCACGCACTGATTCACACATTTTGTCCGGAGTGCTGTACAGTGGTCGCACACCCACACGTAAAGCTATCAATTGAGGTGATGCAAAGCAATGAGAGTAAAGTTTTCCCTTTCAGACATATTTGCTAACAGAACAATACAACAATTGTGTGAAGTATCTTGCTTCCCGTCTTCCACAGAGAGATTAGAGAATGGATGTCAGTTTTATCTTTGCACTGCAAATACTGGAGTTAATGAATAAAGTCCCCTAAGATTTTACTAGCAGCTCATAATCCTCTAAAAATGTCACTGGAAAATAATATTTGGCAATCTGTGAAAACAGTCAAGCAGTGATGGTTCTTGTATTAATTGAGCCCGGGGGAAGCCTGTCGAGCTACACCTCACATAGAGTAGTATAGGTTATAGAAATCTAACAATCCTACTAATTTTGTAAAGCAAACATTCAACAAACTGTGTATCAAAGTGTTTGCATCAGGGTAGAGTAACATAGTCCAGGTTTTTTAATATTGTAAACGTTACATAAATAGTCTTTTAATTTTGCTCTCAATTGAAAGCCAGGGTTCAGACACCAACCAACATTATTATCAGCTTCTGCACTGCCCATTGACTGTACATGCAAAAATCAATATAAATCTGGTTTGATTAGAACTGACATGCTTTTTTGTTGTTAGGTGCTCCTGACCCCACACATCTCAGTGCCCAGTGCCTGTGAACCATGTCACAATTATCAAAACAGCCACTGCAGCCATACTTTTATGGGGTTATTGAGGAATATTGAAGAACAGTGGGAAAAAAACTGAATTGAGGGTGGTGGTCAGACTTTTGTTTTTTCCTGTTTTTAAAACTGTATTATAAACCCACTGATGATTCCAAACATGTCTAATTGAAGTGACGCAAGAAACCCAGGACAGCTTTATATTTTCAGTTCCATTGGTTGAAAGACACATGCTTGGAATGGACTGGAGAGACATTGGTGATTTTCTTTCACATTGTTTGTTTTCACTCCAAGTCTAAATGGCCCTTCCACCAATCCCAAACTCTCTTTCTCTATGAGCTGCCTACTTCAGCTGACATCCATGTTCTTGTCTAACTGAGAAAGACGGAACAGGCAAATTCACATAATATTATATTATTAGTTTAACATCACATACACTCAGAGGTTAAACTAGAGATTGTGTCTGTGCAGTTAGACAGTGGTGACTGTCAACAGGGAGCTTGGACACAACATCTCCTCCTGGTTGTCCAACCTGGTCCCATGAGTCAGCAGCTCCTCTACAGTTGTCCAGTCATCCAATAGCTTTCTGTTCCTCAAACGACTCAGCTTCCGTTGACTCAGCTCCAGGACAGTTTTGCATCGCCCTTCAGCAAAAGGTCCAACTCCCCTGCTTTCTATTAAGCCTCCATCTCCTATAGATGCTGCTCCCCGGCTAACAGCTTCTCGTAAAGGCCCGCCTCTGGCCAGCAGCTGTTGCTGTTTTTGCTCCCGAGCCAACAGGAAGTGTTCTCTCCTCTCTGTTCGACTCCAGTAGCGACCCAGCAGCATGTCAGTGTTGGTCTCTTCATCGGTGCTCATTCCACTCCGTTCATCTGCCAGCTGATGAGCTCGATCTCTGAGCAACTGGCTCCTTGTGACTCGTGAGGTTGTGTTAGGTCTGGAGCTTGGGTTTGGTTTTGCCTGCAGACCAGAACCAGTATTTTGACTTGGGTTTGCATTTATTTGTCTATTCTCACATTCAGCAGCAGTTCCAACTCCTGTGTGGCCTTCTAAAGTGCTGTAGAGGCCTCTACCTCCTCCACCTCCATAGGACTGACGACTGGCCGGCTTTGGCCAGGTGTCGTTGACGTCTCCAGCCTGGAGTGGGAGGACATGACTTTGGAGGTGCTGCTGTTCTCTAGCTCTGCTCCTTTCCAGCTCCAGTTGTCTTTCTCTCTCCTTTTCCTCCTGGAGCTTTGTTTCTCTTTCCCTCTCCCTCTCTCTTTCAATTTCTCTTTCCCTTTCAATCTCCTTTTCCTTTTGTAGTTGTCTCTTTTGTTCCAGCTCTCTCTCCATCTCCCTCTCTCTTTCTGCCATCGCTGGCTCAGGCATTAAGCTTCTATCTTGAGTGTGCCACCAGTCATTTTGTGTGATCTGACCACCCGAGTGGTCATAGCATCGCTCACTGGTGTTGGTGCCCCTGACATGTCCCAAAGCAGCTGGGTGTTGTTGGGGTGATAGGGCCATGCCTGTTGGGTGGGAAGCCATCACACCAGCATCTAGCTCACCTTCCTCTGGCAGGCCTGGTGGAAGGACGTTGTGTGGCGTGACACCTCCACAGTAGTGCAGTGTTGCAGCACAATAGGAAGGTGATGCTGGGTGGCTGGCCCGGCGGCGGTATTCGTGTGGAGGCGGTCGATGGTGTAAGGTTCTGCTCCTCCTCAGCATGCCTACTGAGCTCGAACCCTGGTGGTTGTACTGCTGTTGCATGGGTATTTGTGGTCTTCGATGGCTGGAGGGTGTGCTGCAGGTGGAGAGGACCGGGGCATTTATACGTGGGACTGCGGCGTGAGAGGGGTTGAAGAGAGCTCCACTGCTAGAGCTGTGGCGGTTCAGACAAGGTCGGTCAGCCTTATGGAACTGGACCGATGAAACCCTGGAAATAAAATTATTCTAGTTAACTGATGCAACTACATGTGCAACTGAAATCGTGTTTCAATACACATCATAAAAACATAACTGTTTCTTTAACTATCACCATCAACACTGAATCAGAAAGAAAAAAAATATCAATTGGAATTACTGACATTTGTATTTGTGAACTTAAAATTAATAAATGAAATTAATTTATTTTCTTTAAAATCTGAAGTTTTCATGCAGTAAGGTCTATGCAGTGTGTAACTTTTTGATGAAGTTATCACTATGTTGTGACAGTATCAGTGAAAACAACTGAGCTCCTCTGCTTTCTCAGAGTTCTCCCAGTGTTAACAAGAAATAACCAATCTGACCGAGTCTTAGTGCTGTCAATCAAACCTCCTTCTGGCTTTGATTGGTAATTTTTGGTCTGGAGTGGTGAATTTCTTCAGATAGCAATAGAAATTCAAGGAGGTGTATGACCATTTGTATGACAGTATATTATGAGACAGATTATGTGTCTTATAACATATTGTCACGACACAGTGACAATTTTAGCAAAATAAAGAAGTTTCATACTGCACCTTTAAACAACTTGGGAAAGCTTGTTGTCTGACAATAAGTTAAAAACAAGATATCTGCATCATGTTATTTCAGAATAACATGAAAGAAAATGCTTGTATTACTTTATTCAAAGTCTTAAGTTTACCTGTATTTTTTTAGTATTTAGTAGCATTACTTTGAACTCTATGACTGGAGTCAAATGTTTTGAAGCTTCTAAAAATAGTATGCTAGAATTTTGGCTAATACTATTTGAGTTCTGTCCATACATTTTCTGAGTTTTTATATGATGAACATGATGGCTTTTTGGCTTAAAGTTAAGCCAAAACAGCAACTTTCTTGTCTTAAAATCGCTTTGTAACTAAATTAGAGGCAAATGGAAATAAATTTGAATGAGCAGAATAATTCTTGATTTACAGGGTACATATTTTCAATTAATAAGATAGATTCTGCTCTATTTATTTGGAAAGCAATGCCGGTGTAAATAGAGGGGCTTGTGAATCATTACATTTGTAATGTGCACAAGTCCTTCCGGTCAGCTTCCTAATACTTATTTAAATGTAATGTTATTCTTAAACAAGGCAGCCAATTAACTAATGAATAGCAAAAGAAGGTTTTAGTGATGGACAAAATGAAGCCATGATTTTGAACACAGGTAACTGAAGGAAAGTTCTATTTTTAAAACAAACACCAATGCGCTGCAGGCAGGTTGTCCAAAAAATAACTGCATGGATGTATGAGCACAGATTTGATATGACAGAATACACAGAGCACATAAATGCATAAATCTAACATAGCACTACTGAAAAGTCATGATTATAAATGCTAAGAGAGGCGATGTTATAGTAATTTATGAAAAGTGTAATGACTTATATATAAAAACTTTTTTGTTGGTGACCAGAAAAAGAAACAAAACTTTCTATTCTTTCTTTATTTCAAATTTATAAAACAACTTTGACAGAATTGTCTTTTTTGCAGCACATAAACAGGTGTGGGGTTTTAAATCCAGGTGATTCACAATTAAAAAAACTAAATAAAATCATAATGGATAAGACTCTAATTTAGAACAATGTCAATCAATGAAATATTTTTTCCAAATTACCTGAAAAGTCCACGAGGCTGGACGTCCATGACTGGCCCACCTCCGTCCTCCATCCCATGTTGCAGGTGCTGACATGGGGGCTGCATTGTCAGGGCCTCTGGTATTGACTCAAGCAGCTCTCTGTGGCTCTTGGGGCAGCTGTCACGCCTCTCGCGTCTCTCGCATGGTTCACCCTGATGTTGCATCCTGGCGTTGTACAGACGCATCCTCTTTTCTAGGAGCCTTTGGAAGTGTCTGAACTCCCCGGTGCTAACACTGTAGAAGCCTGAATCGCTGAGCTCCGAGGAGATGAAAGACTCTGAAGACGGAGAGCCCCCACCTCCGAACCCCCCGCACCCAGCAGTGGCAAAGTTCCCATGAGGGTGACAGTCTTCCAGACCTCCCTCCTCTGTCTCCAGCCCTGAGAGATCACCCTGATGGAGGGAGCCATCTGTCCAGCCCAGACCACTGTCCAGCTCATGGTGAAGGGGCATGTAACCCAATGGCTTCTCCAAGATGAAGTCCTCATCATCAGTCTACAAGACAAGAGATGCTCATTCTAAAGGACCGTTCACAAAAAGGCAGATCAGAAGCTAAAAACAACTGCATGTTGCATATGTATTTCCTCAATACAAACTGGATGAGTGTGTGAAACAATAGGATGCTAAAAACTCATAATGATTGTTTTGTTGTTTTAGTAAAACAAAAAGGTCTCCAAACTCTAAGAACCTCTATGGACCTGGAGGACAGGGCCTGGAAACTCATGGTCTAAACAGTATTTTCCACATCTTAATGTTATATGTGAAATTGGGGAGTTGTATGTTAAGTGTCATTAGACATGCTCACAATTGTTTTGATTCTACAATTTTAGAATCAACCAATTGTGATTCTAAAATTACAATCACAATTAAAGCTTTATTGAACGTCAAATGCAGAGTTTACAGTTGGTGGTTGAAAAGGGATATTGGTTTTGGAATAGAATGGAGACTGTGAGTAGAAAACGTTACTAACAAAGGTAAGATTGTAGATACCTGGCTGTGGCAGGTTGTTGGTTCATCTGAGTCAGGATTGCAACATCCCATCAGGCAATTCTTCCTTTTTTGTCGACGTCTGGCGAGTTCAAGATCCTAAAGAATTTGTGCAGTGGAGAATTGGAAATAATTAATAGAATAAACATAAAGAGTATTTTCTAGGCCTATTTGGCTATGTAACACTTTCATACATTATTTCTAAAAAGCTATTCAAGAAATACTTACAGTATACTCTTTTTCTATGAAAACAGTGAGTAAAAAAACTAATAGCCAATGTAAAATTGTAGCTGGAAGTCCACCAAAGCTTGGGTGTATGAGGTATTGATTGAAATGACTTGAATAAATATGCGAACCATGCTATTTTTCCCTTTTGTGAATAGGTTTTAAGACCATGTCTTTCTTCCACTCATCAGTCATTTGTTACTGTGTGTTGGTCTAACAAATAAAATCCCAGTTATACACACCTTTGTGATAGTTTTGCAAGGTGCTGTAAAAGATTTCCAACATTGCTTTGATTTATTTTTATTTTATCCAAGCTGATAAAATGCAACATATGTTCACATCAATGTTTATTTCTTGGAGCTTTTTTAAATGTTCACCTCACCTGATGGTTGATTTCCACAGTGTCCCGTGGGGAGCTAGACATATAGCTGTACCGTCCTCCATCACAGTGATCTTGTGGTAGAGACAGATGGCCATAATAATGCCTGAAAAAAAAAAAAGATGAACATTTTAGCAGCTTCTGAAACAGCTTTACAATTATGTCTATTTTTTAAAATCTGTGGTTAAAGCCTATGAAATGAATCACAAAATAATCAAACAATCCTAAATAAATTTTATCGTTTATCACAATAACTTCTGGAGCAATTTATCACAGGCTTATGTGTGTACCTGTCTGGGTAGGAGGGGCTAGAGGTGTTAATTCCCGCCCCCCTCATTGGAAGAGGTAGGTTGAGGTGCTGCAGGTTGAGCGGCAGAGGTTCCCAGGCTCCCCTGTCTCCCTCATTGCCCCGCCTCCTCTGGCCCTTGATCTGCAAGGTGATGGGGCGTTGACTCGCAGCAATAATCCTCAAAGCATCCCGCTGGCTTAGGTGTGCTAGACTCCGCCCACTCATCTGATTCAAGTGAACAAGCATAGATAGGATATGATGATGAAATGTACATGACCTTATCTGGAGGATGATTTCATCATTTTGCTTCAACCAGAGACACACATGAATGAGACTCCAATTGTCACTCTTTTTAAATTCAATTTTCTATGAATTTATCATAAAATAAAATATAAATATTTTCCTCTGTCAGATAGCTTTGATAATCCTAACTTAAATACATTTGGCCAATCAACTTTTTTTAAAACAAGGTGAATCATTTTTAAACATACTTTTATATGTACTGCAGTGAAATGATTACCATATTTGGAGTGATTACTTGGCATAGATGTATTGTTATGTAGTTTTGGTAGTTACAGAAATGTGATGGTGTGTTGTCCCAAGTGGAGGAGTTTAAGTATTTCAGAATCTTGTTCACAAATGAGGGAAGAAGGGAATGAGAGATCGACAGACTGATTGGGGCAGCGTCTCCATTGAAGCGGGCGCTGTACTGACCCGTGGTGGTGGAAAGAGAACAGAGTCAAAAAGCAAAGCTCTCAATTTACCTGCCGATCTATGTTCCTACCCTCATCTATGATCATGAACTTTGGATCATGACCGAAAGAACAAGGTCACAGATAAAGCGACCAAAATGGGTTTTCTCTGTTGTGTGTCTGGGCTCTCCCTATCCTATGGAGAGGGTTAGAAACTTTGTCATCCAGGAGGGACTCAGAGTAGAGTCGCTACTACTTCATGTCGAGAGGAGCCGATTCAGGTGACTCAGGCATTTGGTCAGGATTCTGGGCATGTCCCACCGGGAGGACGTCCCGGGAAAGACCCAGGACACGTTGGAGGGATTATGTTTCTTGGCTGGCCTGGGATTACATTGGGACTCCCTTGTAGGAGCTGGGATGGATGGATGGATGATGTGTTGTAAAAAATTATTCTATCAAAAGAACTTTCAAAATTATTGTGTAGAAAGTGTTAATGTGGCAACACTGAAGAAAGAAGTGACTCCCCCGTGATTTAGCTACACGGAAAATGTCGATGAGGTTCATAACCCTTGAGGAGTCGGATTTGATTTTGCCTATAAAATCAGTTGGGAGCACTTATTGCCTTGAATCTTACTCACAATCTTGACTTAAATGAAGGAAATTTCACAAGGTTGATGTATAGGGCACAACCCACAGTTTTAATTTCTGCAACATTTAACTCTAGCAGAGTCAGAAGTCACACCATCAAAACAACAGTCATCAGTATTTGAATGTATGAGGTTGATTGAGTTAGGAAATGTATTTGGCATGTCGTTTTTATGCCCACTGTGATATTATGTCACTAAATAAATCAATAACTGTTCTCTTTAAAGTTTTCCACAGCAGCACCGCAAAGGCATTTTTTTTCTCAGTGTCTGATAAACGAGCAACGTTTGCTCTGCTCTATTTCCTCTTTATTTGAGTTATTTAAGTTACCCATCAACCATATGTCTGCCATTACCTTGAAGTGACTTTTCACTAAATACCCACTAAGCAATGACCCTGAGACCAAATATAGATTTTTTTAAACATCAGTTGAAGTTATGCAACCCTGATTTAGATTCATATTTGTATTTTAGACTGAATAAAAACTGTCTGGTTTAAAGGTAATCTAAAAATTAAAAGGACAATACTTGAGGATAAAAATGAAATGTCTGAAAATCATGGAAATATATTTGAAAGCTTGAACTGGAACTTAAAGAATCTAATTTGATTAAATTTCAATCAGTAATCTCATCTTTTTTCATCGGCGAGCTCAAAAATTAAATTAAACTCCACAATTCTAATTTCATATTAGAATATGAGAATGACAAAAATAATATCAGAGGAGAGTAAAAAACTGGATGTTGAAAATTAAGTGAATGGAAACCAATAAATGTTTCCTCAACAATAGCAGCAGTGACTGAATCTTAACTCAAGTTTTCTCTTTTTGAACTTCCAGTTCAGCAAGCAGAGATTTATGTAATAAAAATAACAGATCTTGATGCCAAGATATCATGTACAGTGTGCCAGTCTTTGTTTGAAGAAACATTTTTAAATATAATTACATAACTAGATGCTAATTTGGAGGCTCAGATAGGAATATTTGACAAGTACAGAAGTCAGAATGTAATGCTTTCTACTCACATGCAGGTTGATTGTTTTGAATAACCAATTGAGTAAACTTGAGAGAGTTATGACTAATCACATGAGTAAAACTATTCAACACAAAAACAGTGCTGCAAAAGATAATTGCCCCTATTTTGAAGGGTCAAACTCTGGAAGGTTTTAGTATTAACAGTGGTTCTGAAAAAAATGGAAAAAAAAAATAAATACAAGGGACCTGCAATAATTAGAGAATCAATTTAGGTCAGAAAATGTACAGCCAGTTGAATTATAGAATGTGCTGAAGCTATGCTACAATATCTTTGATTGCACTGCCTAAGTGGATACCAACACATCCATATATGGCTTTGCTTTTGGTACATTTTGCTCCCAAAGCCAATTAAAATTGTGGCTGCTGTATGCATCTATAACATTGTGAGAATGTTGTAGGTAAAATATCCTACATTTCTGCAATCAGCTTGTTCTGGACTCAAAGATGAAGGCCAAATAAAGCAGATAACTCTCTGAGAAACTGTGGAGAAGATGAATCCTCAATTTATCTTCCAAACCTGTATGACTTCTGTAATGCCTTCACAGAAAATACTAATTTTGGCAGTTCCCATTGAAACTATGTTTACTTGGATTTTATAACAAATTTATCCCAGGAACAACTGCATGAACAGAGTGGGGGAATGCAGCTTAACTAATGTCCAGATGCTGCTCAGTGGCATCATGGGAATCACTGAGGAATTATTCCACTTCGGTCATGGATTGTGGGAACCCAGCATCCATCGAAGCCAGTGTGCATTTTTTTGGAATGCAAGCTGCCATTTTGATGGCAGCGTTTTTTCCATCATCCTTTTTTGCTATTATCTTAATGGTTTGAACACAACACAATAATGCCAGTTTACATGTTGCAAACTGGCAAAATCATAAGGCACAACTGGGCAGCAAGATTCTGTTTCTCTGACAGATGGCTGGATTAGGGACACCTGGACAGACACACCGTGCTCATCAAACCTGACAAATATGAGTATGTCTGTAGGTCTGCAGTGAGGTGTGTTACTTCTGAAAAGCAGCATAATCCTTATTCTGCTTGCTACATATCACTGCATGCAGCTCATGGAATTAGACGCATGAACAGCATTAACTCCAGTGCATCAGAACCATGAGTCACCCTCCGCTACATTCAGCTACAGAGACACACACTCGCGTACACGCACACACAAAATGCATACAGCGTGAGCAAAAGGAGCACAAAATGGCACCTGTATGTAAAGACGGAGGATGGCAGCAGAATGAGTGGGATTCTTTGGGAGGTGTCAGTGACACAAATGAGACAAAATCTAACATAACTTTTCAAAGAAACACAACTTAACATTGTGTTTGATGGTCTCACATTCAAATGCAAAATCCTGCAGAAATCCCAATGCCTACTTTGAGTCTCATTAAATACACACATACTGACACATCCACAAGCAAAAAAACACAAGCACTAATGACTCCATTTTACGTAATTCAAATGAGAGCTAATTAAAAATATACTGCAGGATTTCTAGCAGTCAGGCAGTTTTTAATGGCTTACCGTTTGGTCACCCATCCATGGTCCAGAGAGCCAACAGCCCATCTCCACAGCAACAGAAGGCAGCTGCCGAGGGTTTTGGTCAAATCAGCGGCTCTGCTGGTTCCCTTCAGCAGATCGCCTCTTCTGCCTCCTCCTCTTCCTCCGCCTTACAATCTCTCTCTTTCTTTCTTTCTCTCTCTCTAATATCAGTGCCTTTTCCCCTGCTGTTCTATCCTCAACTTCCCCACACTTTCATCCAAACAGTACCTCTTGTTTTCCATCTATTTTTTCAACATCTCTTGCCACATCTCCTTCAAAAACTGCTTGAAATTTCAACATTCTGCACACAACCAGAGGCACAACATGCATGCATGGCAGCGCTGCAGTCATAAAAAATATGCGCAGGCTGACAGTGCGTTCAGAGATGGAGAGGAAAACACACAGCAAGGATGCTGTCTGATTGGTGTCCTTTAAAGAGTCATCAGCCAATCACATGCACTGTTCTCCTTGTGGAGGTTTTCCTCTGTCTGAAACTCCTCAGCAGTGCTTCATGCAAGAGGCAGCCTCCACTGCAGTGATACACTCAGCAGCAGGGGAAACACGCTATCAAACTATCCATCTTCTAGTGCTCAGCCAGGATCTCCCCCTAGCAGATGCATGCTGGGAGATGGAGTGAAGACGCTGTGGCTCTTTCTTACCTATCAGAATCAACCTGAAGTTAAACATCCTGAAAGATTGTCTACTTTGACAAGTTTATTAATTTGAGTTTTGAAACAAACTTAAAAGTAAAAAACATATCTTAAGTATGTTTTTCAGACTTTTGTTTGTATCAATTCTCGAGTAGAAGAACAAGAACACATTTTATATAATATTATAGTCCAAAGGACAGCCCGAAGAAAATTAAAAAATGAACCTATCTATACTGGTTGTAATAGTGTGTACACTCTTTTTTTTTTTTTTTTTTTTTTTTTGTTGCTCTAGTGGCCTTTATTTGAAAGGAAAGTGGGTTTTCAGAGATTTAGTTCTGCATTCTAGCTTTGTTAGACAAAAACTTGAATTTTTCTTCTGTTTATTTAGACTTGCACTCATTGTGAAGCTGAAAAAAATATTCTATGTCTTTATGCTCAGCATTCTGATAGAACACTGAAGGTTTGGGGCCAAAACTGTCTGGTGTTCTGTTCATGATTAAAGAAACTAATTTAATATCTTTGGAAGAATTTTGTGGATTAACACAAATTAAGAAAATATTCCATATTTTCACATTATGTCCAAAGTATTTAACATGCAATGCTGCCTGGCTTTCTCCCTTGGCAATACCTTACTTCTTTTTATTTAACAGATTACAACTTCAATGTTGATATAATCAGCCATTGTGCACATTCCCTCTCTCATTTGCCTTTGCGTGTTTCTCCATCATCTTGATGTAGGTTTGAGTTTAAATGTCTCGTCAAAGTCCAAGCCTAAATACACCTAGGAGAATGTTGTAAGACCATCATCTGTGAATTGATGTTCACAGTTGCTCTCCACCCATTCTGTAGAAGCTTGAGCATCACTGCAAAATAAAAGGCAAAATTTGTTCTCTGAATATTGGCTCATGGACAGAAAACTCAAAATTGTTTTCTTTTTCCTACTAATTTATGATTAGGTTATATTTTGTGTGGGCCAATGAAATAGAATCCTCTTAAAATACATTACAGTTTGTGAAAAAAAAATAATAGTAAGAAAAAGTAAAATAGGTGTAAAAAACCTTTTTAAGGCACAATACCTTCCTTACTGCATAAATCTGAGAATAAATTTTACTCTGGTTGGTCTTCCTGATAAGCCACCTCATCTTCCTCTCCTCCACTTGGTAGATTTAGGAAGCCAACACTTGATTGATGAAACTACTGTACATATGTGTGAGTTTGATCTGTAGCTTTGGAGCAGCTGGGATGAGAACATAGTTTACAAAGCATCCTTTGCTTTTAATGTCGACATGACAGCAGACCACCTCCTGCCACAGTCATCTGTATGCCTCTTGAACATAGTTTCATTTCATCTAGTTCACTCTAAATGACCCTGCTTTTTAACTGTTTGGTTGTCATGGTAACAGGCTTGCATGAAAAAGGAAGGGATTGTGTGTGTTGCTTGCGAATTCACTGGAATGTCTTTTATTATAGCAGCTCTCCTTTTTTTGTGCACCAACGCTAAATATGAGTCTTAGTGGTGACACCGTGGATGGACAGATGGTGACAGTGATAATGGATGCATGTCTTACTGCTGATGAATGTGATGATGATGATGAAGATGATGGGTGCATCTGGATGCTGTAGCTGAGCTCTGCCATTTTTGTACTAAAGTGCGGAGGCAGAAAGAAAGAGCAATGGAGAGTGAGCATGTGTGCTTTACCCACACACGCACGCGCACACACACACACACGCACACGCACACACACACACACACACACACACACACACACACACCCACACACACACACACACACACGCACGCACACACACACACACACACATACTGTAGAGCTTCAGCTGCGACACACAGACCTGTCTGTGGCTAAAAATGGAAAGCATACTTGCTGTTGCTGAGAAGCCACAAGAAGGCTCAAAATGAGGCAAGTATACATGCAGAGATTCATATTTACATACATTCTGAAAGAATATCAGAGATATAAAAATTACAATACTAAAATATGTTTTAATCACTTTATCTTACCATCAAGTAGCAACAGTTAAACATCCTAAGGCATCTAATCTCGTGCAATTATAAAATGTTCCAGAGTCTTTTAAAAAGGGGTTTCATTGATTGCTCAGTCTGTTCAATTGAATGTTTTATGCAACTAACTATTTAACCACTTTATCAATGAATTAGAACATAATTCATTTGTCTTTTTTTTCTAATTACATTTATTTATGTAAAACAGGGACAGAACACAATAATGAACAAATCCATAGTATTTGTAAATGCACCAGACTATAGCCCAAGTCTGTTTGCTTATCCCATGACTGGTCGGTGTTAATATACAAAATAATATCACATCCTAGAAATATGACAAAAATTCCTCTTAAAATATACACAGAATAATGTAAAACATAAGGGAAAGAAAAAACACTGTGTTGTATCAATGCCATCTTTCAGTTGATGTGTTTTTTAATGCTAGAGTCCATCTTTTATATTGGTGATAAACATATACAGGACATGATACAGACTGTGAACTTCAGTATTTATAACTGTATATGACTCTCAGATTATCCAGGATTATGTTTATAATCTTGGTGGCTCTAAACAACAGATGTATTTGATTTTTGACATTGAAGTAAGGAAATATTATTATTCATAGGGAAACCTTAAGATAAAGATTTTCTGACAATTTCCTTTTTTTCAAAATTGTTTCTTGCTTATCATGTGTAACTGCATGTAATGCCTAAGTTTTAGAACTAAGGTGTTCCAAAGTGTTAAAATGGTTTAGCTACAACTGAAAAACCAAGCATATATATCTTACATATCTTATGAGTCTGTCTTAAATGTTTTGAATAAGGGATTAAAACTTTCAAAGTTACTGTGCTATAAAGGTATAATAAGCACACATATGTTGTGGTATCTAGACAGGAACCCAGGTGTTTCTTTTATTAACAAAATAGTTTTTGAGTAACCTCTTATGCATTTTTTTTCACTTACTGCTTGCCAGATTTTCAGAAGAGTAGCAAAAATATGTACTTAAATAGAAGTATAACATATAAACTGTTACAAATTTTTCTTAAGTAAAACTAAAAAAATTGCCATTGAGGAAATTACTCAAGCAATGTCTCATTTTACTTATGTAAGTGTAAACAGTATGATGCAGTAAAATGATTTCTTACATTTCCCCTTTAGTCTGACTTCATTATTTAGTCATGGTATTTATTTATTTATTTTTGCTCTTCATTAAAAAGAAATTAGTAATTTTCTCAAATTAAATAAGATGCTTTGATCAGTTGATCAGAACTTGGGTAGCCATTTTATCAAGTAAATATTTTACTCTTACTTGAGTAAAACTTTACAGTAAAATTCTATTCTATTCTATTCTATTCTATTCTATTCTATTCTATTCTATTCTATTCTATTCTATTCTATTCTATTCTATTCTATTCTATTCTATTCGCGTTTAGTACTTTTTGTCTGTAGTCGGGTGTTGTAGGACCCACTTAAGCGAATGAATGTCAATGATTGGTCAGCTTGTCCAAACTGTCTTGTGATTGGTTAGATTTTTGGAAGTATAGCAGCGGGTAGTACAATAACGTGACTTCACATTGTTTGTTTTAAGTTTTACTGTTTTAATAACTTATTTTAATATAGCTGTATTCAGGAACAGTTGTAAAATTTGTGTCTGTATCTTTTTTGAATAGGGTGTTACAAGATAGCTGTATATTATTGTGACAGAGTTAGCTTAGCCGCTAACTTCCCATTGGAACCACGACAGTTAGCATTAGCTTCCAAGGAGCTACAACAACAACAACAGTAGTAGCCTCACCGAGAGACGAGGTAACAACTCCATAACAAACTCGTGGAACTTCTCACGATTTGTTAATTTCTTTGACTTTCTTTAAAACTTAAAGCAAATGTAATTAAATCACACAATAGAGAGCTGCTTGATTCTGATGTCATGTCGTTTTTAGCTTAATGACGCGTCAAGATTTTTCTCTAGCTGACTGACAACCAATGTTAAGCAGCCGACAATAAGATATTAAATGTTTACCTTAAAGTTGAACTGAAATGCTTTAAATATGTTCGTAGGATACATTTAATGTGTCAAATGTAACCTTACCACTTTATTTATAACAGGAGACATTCCACAACTGGGATTATTACATTTTCTTAGTGAAATGTTATGCTTTTCAGTAACTGTGATGGGAATATTTCAAACGATATTTATATCAAAACAGAAAATATTATCTATTAGAGCAATAAAACAGTGTTTAATAATAAAATGATGATACCCTTTATATTGTTCCAATGCTCTATAAAAAAAAATCGTTCAACATCTAATGTGAACAAGGGAATTGTTTTTGTTGATATTGATTTTTAATGGTTTGACTAAAAGTCATAAATTTGACCTGTCATTGTCATATCTGTCCTGCCAAAAGTTATTAATGTAGAATATTAGATTTTTGCCATTAAGAAAACCACTTGATAAATGATACCTAGACACCAAAATACACTAACTTTGCATTGTTTTTCAAATTAAATGTTGTGGTTCTGTATTTTATTGATGGAAATTCTAAAACTGTTAATTCTGTCAGAAAAAATATGAAGTACATGCCATGCTAAAATGATGAACATGACATGAGACTATGATGAGATGGTGTGTTTCCAAAAGAAAAAAAGTTTAGCGAGATTGAGCAACATAAAAGTTTAATAT